TTTATCTCGGGAGCCCAACTTCCAGCATTCCTGTAATTTTGTACAAGTTTATTAGTTTTTGGCACACAATTCAATGCTTTTAGACTAAAACAAAAGTTAAAAGGCGCTAATAAGTAGTTAAAATTCCCACTTATCAATGACGTTCTATGTTTCCTCTTGCTCCGACCTCGACCCTGTTAATTGTTGTGCCTCCTTTTCTTTGTCTTTTCTCTGTTGGGTGGCTATATCGTCTAAGGCAATGCGGTAGCATTCTCGTGATGTGTGATGTTCTCCTCGTATACTGAAAATCCCCCATGGAGTTGGAAATTTAATTACTTGGTATAAGCTGGAGGGGACGGCTTTCATTGGATATATCCACGGTTGTCCTACTATGGCATTGTATGAGGTGGCCTGGTCCATAATGTGGAACGTTGTCTCCAGAGTTACGCCGCCAGCCAAAACGGGGAGTGTTGAACATTGTCTCCAGAGTTACACCTGGTCCAGTTGCATTGTTAAAACCAGTTAGCGTGATGCAGCGCGACACTATCTTATCTTCGAGTCTCATCTGGGTAAGCACGCAGGGATGGATAATGCATGCGCCGCTCTCGCCATCTATCATAATGCATTTAACATCGGTATCTAAAATACATAAAGTAATAACGAGGGCGTCGTTATAAGGAAAGGTCAAACCATCGGCATCCGACTTGTCGAAGATGATACTTTCTTCGAGTTCGTTGTACCGTTCGCGGGTGATAGATCACTTGAGTTTGTGGGTAGTGGTGAACTTCACATTATTGATAGAGGCGTCATCTCTTACGTCGATGATCATGTTGATGGTACGAGCTAGTTAGGGTGGTTTTGGCGGTCCTTGGTGTTCGCGTCTTCTGGCGAAGTTGGTTCTTCCCCTATCTCTTAGTAACTCTTTGAGGTGCCCTTGTCGCAATATGTTTATGACTTCTTGCCTCAGGGTGATGCAATCTTCAGTTTTGTGTCCTCGTTCTTAGTGGAACTCACAGAGGGCGTCAGACTTTCTAGTGTTCGGGTCCGATCTCATCTTCGGCGGCCACTTCACTTTCGGTCTGAGCTTCTCCAGAGTGTAAACTATCTCTGTAGGTGACACACAAAAATTGTGAGCAGATAACAAGGGAGGCATACCTCTATCATTCTGATGAGTTCCCGTCCTTAGTCTGGAAGGACCTTTCTTCTAGCGGGGAGAGGGCGCAACAGCCATCCAGATATATGGTTGATGTTGTTCCTTGTTAGGTCGTGGAATTGGATGATCTCTTATAGCGTTGTCTCTTCGATCTTTTCTTGATTCGGCTTGTGCCGATGTTAGTCGGTGAGTTGGTCCGTTGAGGTCGTCCTCATCTGCACGGACCTCAGCACAGTAAGCATTGTGGATTTCATCCCAAGTGGTTGGGGGATACTTCATCAACCGACTCAACAATTTTCTAGTTGCTTTTTAACCATCTCTACTCAGCCCGTTCTGAAAGGCTGCGACCTCCATCCTTTCTGATACGTTTGGTAGAGTCATCCTCACTCGGTTGAACCGGGCAAGGAAGTCCCTTAGTCCCTCTCACATGGACTTCTTAATAGCAAATATGTCGTTCACTCTTGCCTTGGCCTTCTTGGCTCCAGCATGGTTCGTTACGAACTTATCGGCCATTTCCTCGAAAGTTTCTATGGAGCATGCTGGTAGCTACGAATACCATGTTAATGCCCCTCCTGTGAAGGTTTAGTCAAAATTCTTCAGTAAAATTGAAGATACTTGTTCTTTGGCGAGATCATTGCCTTTTACGACGGTAACGTAATGAGTCATGTGATCTTCAGGGTAGGTCGTGCCATCATATATCCTGAGGTAGGGCAGCATTTTGAAGGTCTTTGGTATGGCATATAGGGCTGCGCCATCACTGTACGGATGCTCGACGAACCGACCGGCGTCCCTCTTCTGCAACAGCTTAGGAGCTCACGGTATTTTATCGACCCTTTCTTGGTATTCCTTCATTTGATCTCGGAGCGGCTTATTTTCATTCTCCATTTCTTCCATCCTTTTTAGAATCGATGCGAAGGCGTTGTCACCTGCACTATCAATGACATTGTGAGTAATACCTATCGTTAGAGGAAATGGTGGGTTGCATTGCTCGTCTGTTTATTGTATCGTGCAAGTCCTTGCATTTTCTGCAGTCGTGCCCTGAGCGGGCTTGTTGAGGACGCTTGTTAGCGTGTCAGTTAGCCACGCTTCGAGGAGTTTTTTCACAGCTAGGGGTGTCTCTTCCTCCACAAAGGTGGAAAGCTCCTTTACCACGGGATTTTGTTATGCTGCAGTGTGGGGGCGGTGACCTATTTCGTCTAGGGGATGCACTGGGTATCGTTCTCATTTGCCATTTCACAGCTTTCGTTGATGACGTTCATGAGGTTGGTTGGGAGGTCACTTATTATTTTCGTCTTTTCTTCTCGGTTACCTGCCATGTTGGATTTTGTGTACACAAAGAAAGGTCTATTTCTTTTACGCTAGTGACCTATGTTAGTTGTAGATCTAGAAGAAACTAAAAGTTTAACTAAGAAATCCCCACAGACGGCGCCATATTATTTGACCAAAAAATATAGATCTTGGTTCAAATAATTAAATTTGTGTAATTAAGGATTATTCTTAGTTAGCAATAATATCCCTAGATTAAGTTTTTCAAAGATTCAATAAATGTTAGATGGGTTTGGTCGGACGATAGCAACAATATGTAATAACTGTTTTAGAAAGCAAGAGCAATAATGTAGCATTAAATAGCAATAAATGACATTTAAATAAATAGGAGGAATGATTCACCCAATAAAGGATAAAATATGTGGATGTTCCTCCTCACAATGATGAATGACACACAAATCTTAGTGAAAATGTGGTATTTGTATCTTAGCAAGAGAGAGACGAATCTTTTAGTCAAAGTGTGTTCTTTACAAATGAATATCACATGCCTCTATCATTGTCTCTTTTTTCTATTTATATGGGATATGTTCCTAAGAAACCCTAATAGTACAAGTGCAGGGAATATCCAATAGAATATTCTCTTTTAACATCCTATCTTGAAAACTAGCCGTTACAGCTCTGTCAACGGTGTTCGACCTCGACCCTTATTGACATCTCGACCACGGTTCTCGTCGACTTTTCGACTATGGATTTTGCTGCTTCTTGGACCACCTCGACTAACGACGACTTGAGAATTCTTCCCTTAGTATTATCTTGTCTTAAATATTCTAAGGGCAGATTTTCGACTCATACAAATATATACACATTAAACTCTTTTAAATATTGAATTCTACACTCAGAACTGCATAACTTATTGAGTTATTGTATCCTAAATTTTTTCGCAAACACGTGTGTGTGTGTGTATATATATATATATATATATATATACACACACACACACACACTAGTTTTTATGAACGTGTATTGCACGATAATAATAGTATGTTGATGTTCGATCACTAAACAATTTGATATTCATATATTTCACATAGATCCTTAATCAATTTTTATATAATAAATTAAGGGACCAAAAAATAAATTTACGTAGAATACTATCTATATGACTGCAACAGCTGATGTGGAAGAAAATATAACAATCTTCAATTGTGATTACACTTCCATAATACTTGAATTTACAATGATTCAACATCATCGTCTGAAACTGTGAATGATATATGTACTTATAATATAGAAATACAAAATATAATCGTATCTTATCTAATACTTCTTTATATATGATTTTTTTGGTGTTTGTTCCCTTAGATACTTTAGATGCGTTGTTGTTTGAACTCTTGTTGTCGACATTGATATCTCTCTTAAAAAATATAATATATTATAGTAAATATAATAAAATATATTACACAAATATAGTCCAACATTTGAAATTATTTGGCTATGTGTTTTATTTATCGTCATTGCAATACACAAGCATACATGCAATTATTTCTGGACGAATTAAAGAGGTTATTATTCATTTTTTGCGGTGGAAGTTGAATTTTGGGGATAAATAAATGCTTGAAAGCACATATATCCATCATTATTGCTACAAAATAATAAGATTGAAAGAAATAATAACCGTAATAAATGAACAATAACGCCAAAAAATTATATTAAACGTAGTAACATTCCTGTGGTGTTTTGATCTTTAACTTTTATAATTAAGTTTTATTGAAGCTAAATATTTTCATGTCAAATTCTAAAAAAAATAAAAATAGATACGACTGTATATAAATGATTAAGCCAAACCAAATTGTCTAATTAAAATGAGCATGGAGTCCTTGACTAACTTAACTTTGAAGAAGTTCGTCTATTAGTTTTAGTTTTTGGTAAATAATTTTTAGTTGAAATTATAATCTTATTAAATAAGAAACATAAATTTTGCACAAGAAATAAAGTTATAAAACTTCTACAATTCTACATGTAAGCTCACGTATAATTAGGGCAGTGCTTGTATATATAATATGACAAGTCTTTTACGTGCTCGTAGAATTTTTCTTTGCCAACTCTTCTTATATAGGTAATTATTATAATTTTAATCAATTATGAAGTTGTTTAGTTGAAGGAAGATTGTATATTTTAGAATGGATTGAGTCCCGGCCGAAAAAGGTTACTTAGTCCTAACCCAAAATTATATTTATACCCATCATTAAATTGTTACATAAAAGAAAAATTAACTTTAAAGGGCAAACAAGTCCATCAACTTTTTGGGTATATTTTCGTCTCTTAACATTTAGCTTCTTAACACTCGTACTTTTATAATAAATAAATAAAAAAAAAAATATATATATATATATATATGAAAAAATTAATAATAAAAAAAAGAATACACTTTGATTGTACAGTAATTCCTAAGGAATCCTGGTTCTAATCCTTTAAACCCGTGGGGCCTACAACTATGTAAGTATACACTTTTCTAGACAAAGTTCATTTATATTAAAACCTACTTATATAATAAAGAATCCTAAACAAATATGGTTTAAAAAAAAAAAGGGAAAGAGAATCCTAACCAAATAGATACTATCAAACTCAAAGGAGTGTGACTCATATCATCCTCATTATACGTTTTGCCAACTCCAGCGTTGACAACTCTGCTCTATCCATATATACACTAAAATCAAACAGATCTCAGCAGAATTATCCTTCCTCTTCTCTTTTCACAATATTCTTCCTAAGGGTATGCACTTTCTTCTTCTTTTTTTCAATTTGCAATTCTTCAATATTGACTTAACATGTTTAGAGTTTCAAGAATTTAAACAGTCTGTTTCTGGGTGTTTATCTTTTTTTATTATTACTCTTGAGTGCAATAAGATAATCCTACATCTCCAAAAATTGGTTCTTTTTAGTTTTAGCCACTTGTTAATCTGTTTCTTGTTACAATTGAAGTGATAAGTTGTGTTAATTTGGTTGTAGGGGGAATGTTTCTGTTCAATTTCGCTAAAAATATTTTTTTTTTTTGGATTTTTAAACTGTAAAGTTTGGGTCTTTTTAGCATTATCCACTTTTTGATCTTTTCTTTGTTATAATTGAAGTGGTATCTTGTTTGTTTTGGGTGTATATTGGGATTTTTCTGTTAAATTTTGCTTTAAAAATGGGTATTATGAATTTTAAAACTGTAAAGTTTGGTTCTTTTAGTTTTAGCCACTTGTTAATCTGTTTCTTTGTTATAATTGAAGTGGTATCTTATTTGTTTTGGTTGTATATTGGGATTTTTCTGTTAATTTTGCTTTAAAATGGCTATTTTGGATTTTAAAACTGTAAAGTTTGGTTCTTTATAGTTTTAGCCCCTTGTTAATCTATTTCTTTGTTATAATTGAAGTGGTATCTTGTTTGTTTTGGTTGTATATTGGGATTTTTCTGTTAAATTTTGCTTAAAATGGGATTTTTGGATTTAGTATTGCCCAAAAACTTTCTTTATTCTCATTGGAGAAAGACTCTCCCGCAGCAAGGTTTTACATAAAACTGTAAAGTTTGATTCTCTTTAATATTATCCACTTTTTAATCTGTTTCTTGTTACAATTGAACAGTGTTATCAAAGCGCGCTTAAGCCTCGCCTCACTTAGTGGGCGTTTCAGTATTGTCATCAAGGCTCTAAGACATATATTTCCTTGTCAATGAGCGTAATCCTGAAGGGGCGACACTAAACAACTTATATTCACTTTATCTTCAATTTCTTTGTTGATATATTTGGTATTCATCAATTTCTTTTTTGATATATTTGGTATTCACGCTTACAGACATTAGTCTTGGACTATACATACGTATTTGTAGTTTTTCTTCATTTGCGCCTTTTTTCATTAAAGCCCCACGCTTTAAATGCACTTTGCGCTTAAAGCGCCAACAAACCGTAGAGCTTTTTTGTACTTTTCGCCTTTGATAAAACTGCAATTGAAGTGATAACTTGTTTGATTTTTGCTTTATAGTGGAAATTTTCTGTTCAATTTTGCTAGAAAATGTATATTTTGGATTTTAAAACTGTAAAGTTTGGTTCTTTTTAGTTTCAGCCACTTGTTAATCTGTTTCTTTGTTATAGTGAAGTGATAACTTGTTTAATTTGGTTGTAAATTGGAATTTTTCTGTTCAATATTGATGAAAAATGGGTATTCTGGATTTTGAAATTGTAGGTGGTTGCTGTTAGTTTGGAAGTCCAATGGCGATTGGTATGAAGCAGATGTCCATAATAATAGCAACCCTTGGTGTTTTATCCTTTGTATTTGGAGTTATTGCTGAAAACAAGAAGGTTCGTTGATAAAATTAGATAGGGGGAACTCTTGTGAATCCCCCCAGTTACCTTTTTGCCAGTTTTGTCTTGTCTTTTAATTCTGTGCATTTTGTATATATGTCTTCCTTAGATCCTTTTGTGTGTCTGTGCGTGTGTGCTTTTTAATTAAATGGATTTATAGGCGGTGAGTGCACCTATTAATGTATATACATATTTTCTTGTAATTTTTCTGTAAATCTTCTGCATACATGTATATAGAGTTTGAGCCCGAGACAGTGGTGAATCCATACATGCTGGGGGTAGGGGACTCAGATCGCCCCGGCAAATAGGTCAAAGGCCCAACGTAGTTGGGAGATGCTTCTGAATAACCATGTCCATCAGTTGTCAATATTTTTAAGCACACCATTGATACAATAAGGATTCAATTGAACCCCCTTCAACATACTTAGCTGCGCACTGCATGGATGCCGGGGTAGGGGACTCGGGTCGGCACGGCAAAGAAGGGCAAAGGCCCAACCTAGTTGCGAGATAGTTTTGAATAACTGTCACCAATAATCAATTTTGTTAAGCACACCACTGGTGTTACTGAAACTAAAATGAAGAAGCAATTTAAGTGATCAGATTTGCTTCCTTGGCGACCCGATCTACCATGTTATGTTATCCTCATGTTGGATGAAGCATTGATCATGATACTTCTGCTATCCTAAGTAGTTATTTAATTCAGGAGTAATAGTTCGTTTATACCGTAGCAGACTCTTTCTTGACATTGTCAGCATTGCAAAAGAAAATTTCTTTGTTACTGATTACTCCATCTGTCCCAATTTATGTGACCCTGTTCGGATTTCGAGAGTCAAACGAGTTATTCTTTGACTGTGATTCTTTCATATGCCTTTTAATATTTTAAATTAATAATTATTATGACTTATAATACTTTGTACTTAGTTTTCAAATATGTAAATTTTATTTCAAAAAACTTAAAAATTTTATGTCCAAATTCACAGTCAAAATTAAGAATTTCGACTCTCGATATCTGAACTGTGCCACGTAGATTGGGACGGAGGGAGTACTATTTTCTTTTTTAAGGGTGTTGACTTCAAAAGCGTACCTTATTCTACTCATGTGATACTCACTAGACGGGGAGAACTATAGAATCAAAGGTTACATTATCATACGGGAGGATATTGCGCTGATGCTTCATGGCTTAATTTACTCTTATTCAAATGACAGAGCGATTAAGACTTTATTAATTGTGGCTAGACATGTAATATATAATGTTCTTGGAGGTCTTCTGTCTACTTTATAATCTTATAAAAAGCTAACAAACAGTTTCTTGATTTTCTCTTTCCCTATTTGTGGTATGTCGGGCAGTGTGGCAGTTTCCAAGTTATATAACACTTATCAAAATTTGTAGATTGTGAAAAGTATATTGTGTGAAACAAGATGATTTCTTTTTTTTTTTATTGTGAGAAAAGTGTAGACATTCGAGCATCATTGATGAGTAGATGCACAATATATTAGTTAAGTATCTTCTATGTTTTGTTATTTCGTCCTCCCTTAGTTTGGACTTTTTGGTTATGTTTATTGCAGCCTGCAGCTGGGACTGCAATACCAGGAAAAGGTGTTGTTATTTGTAAATACAAGTCTGACCCTATTGTTGCCTTGGGCTATTTGTCTTTTGCTCTTCTTGTTGCATCTTCTGTGGCCGGTTTCCTGTCATTATTTTATCCGTATCAAGGGAAGTCAATCCCACAAGCTGCTTTGCTGAAAAACACTAGTTTTGTTGTGTTCCTCAACATCGCATTGTAAGTACTCTTCGACCAGTCATTTTCACTATTTTTAATGTCTTCATTGACCTTTTTCTTAATCCTAGTTCACTATTCCTATATGTCTTATGTTGACTGTTTTTGTCCACGAGTTGGTAAACACATCATTCTAGGTCACTTACTTGTTCATTTGATTTTCGTTGTCTATAAAATAAAAGCACTAATAATATTGTCTGACAGGTATAAAAGTAACAATAATGATAGCGGATAATTTTCCTTTTTATAATAACAACAATAAAAATAATAATTATGATGATGATGAAGATGATGTCGATAACAGCAATGATAAGGAAGTTAATTTTTAGTCACACAAAAATGCAACGGCGGGAGGGTGCATAATATGCATGTGTGGACATGAGCTTGTCTTTTAGTTCCCTCATTTTTTCTCTTTTAGTGATTGAACTTGTATCTCATCACAAAAAATGATGCTATTGAGTTCACTTCCTTTCTTGGTGGGATGTGAGTGATTGAACCTAAAACAACCTCTCTACCTTCACAGGATAGGGGTAAGATATGTGTACACATTAACTTCCCCGTACCTCACTTGTTGGATTACGCTGGGTTTATTGTTGTTTTTGTTGTTGTTGTTGTTGTTGTTGTTGTTGTTGTTGTTGTATGCGAGTGATTGAACTTATGGTTCTTTTGGTATTTTCTGCCTTTGAATCAAAGGGGCACAACTGGTTTAGCAGCAGCATTATTATTGTGGCCTACAATCTCCGAGCAACTTCATATCTCTCGCAACATCCATCACAACTTGCAAACCGATTGCCCAACAGCCAAGACCGGTCTTCTTGGTGGAGGCGCCTTTTTGTCTCTTGATTCTGCGCTCTTCTGGTTGGTGGCTTTGATGTTAGCTGATAATGCTCGCGAGGATTATTTCCAAGACGCAGATGTTAAGGGCGAGCTGAAAGCAAGTTATGTAGATGATGAAGTTATCAAGAGCAGTGCTTAAGAAGATTGTTCTCTACTTTCTATTTTGTCATTCTGATGTTGCCAATATGGAACTGTTAGTACAAAGCTTATGTAAAAAACATGATTTCCTGTCTTTCTAATTATAAATATCATTATGGATTCCTTTATTAAAATTGATATCACTGTTGATTTGGGCCTATTTTGTAAGCTACATAGTAGCATCTTGAGTCAGTTATGAGCCTTGGAGAACATAAATTAATGGTTCACTAGTGTATGATCACGGGTGGCTCGACTAGAAGGCCAGTAAAGCAATCGCTTGGGCCCTAACTTTTTGGCGGCCCTGTTTTTTGTATATGTATTATTAAAAAAATTGTGTGTACATTTAAATTTAAAAAGAATTTTTGAAGCGAAAGTACAAGTAGCTATTTTTTTTTTGTCTCATTTATATCTTAACAACTAATATGGGCCCACATTATTATTTATACATTTACCTTTTTCATTCTCTCACTATTGAAAAGTCTCTCAATCGACATCTTACCCCGGCTTACAAGTTGTTTTCTTCAAAATATCAAACATTACAACAAGCAACCATTATATTGAAGCAATGTAACACTTTTCGATATCATTATATCAACTTATCTTGCTCTATAACTTCTTACCCTTTAATTTCTGCTACTATCTATTGTTTCTTTTACTATCAGTTATGAGCCTTGAAGAACATAAACTAAAGGTTCACTTGTATGTTCATTTATTTTTAGAAGTGGTAAAAATTTATTTCTATATTGATTAATAGTATATTAAAAAGAAAAAAATCCAGATGCCTACATAGAAGGCTTTACAACCTTTTGAAGGTATATATTGTTTAGCATACATTATCTTGTTGCCTTTGTTATCAAAAATTGATTACAAAGGAAAAAAACTTTATATTCCCTGTTATTATTGGTTCGTTTAACTTAAGCTAAATTAGTGTTTTTGTCCCTAACTAATACACGAAACAATTTCAATACTCGGTACTAAAGTATGAATCTTTGACAGGTAGTGTCACGACCCAAACTAACCCCTGTTGTGATGCCGCCTATCGTGGAACTAGGCAAGCCGACTCATTTCCAAAACAAACCAATATTTTCATTTCAAAAATAATTTCAATGTCATTTAACATAAAAACCTTCGTAAAAGAGTTCAAATTAAAATAAAAGTACGGAAGGAAAAGCCCGACATTCGGGGTGTCACTAGTCATGAGCATCTACTACAATCTGTCTAACAATATCAGGGCTAATTCAACCTGAAAAATAGCTAAATACAACTAGAGGAAGATAAGAGGGAGAAGAGCAGGGGTTGCGATCGCCAAACAGCTACCTTGTTATCTCCAAGAAAATCTGCAACCAAAACACTCAATAACCGCTACCATGTCCAGCTACACATGAATTTGCACACAAGGTGCAGAGAATAACGTGAGTACGCCAACTCGGTAAGTAACAACAATAAATAAAGACTGAGTAGTAGTGACGAGCAATAAAGCATATAACGTTCATATCATGAAATCTCAGTAAAATACCTCGTGCTTTTTAAAATCAGAATTTGAATCAAAATATCTCGTTTAAACCCAGTAAAAATAATCATTTAAGGATATTTTTCAACAGATTTCAAACAAAGGAAAAATGCAAAGGTGAGCAAAATGATGAAATCATAAACAGCCCCTCGGGCAAAACATCACTCATATACAGCCCCTCGGGCAAACTTCACAGTCACTCGTGCCACTCGGGCATACCTCACAATCACTCTTGCCACTCGGGCATACCTCACAATCACTCATGCCTCCCAATCACTCGGCACTCGGCACTCGCACTCAGTAGGTACCTGCGCTCACTGGGGGTGTGTACAAACTCCGGAGGGGCTCCTTCAGTCCAAGTGCTATAATCTGCACGGGCAACTCACGTGCTGCACGGACAACTCACGTACTATAATAATAAAGTATGTTGCAGGCGGGCAACCCCGATCCACACTCATCCTCACAATCAGGC